ACAGAAAATTTTGAATCAATCTGACTGGATGATCTGGTTGAAATATCTCTATAAAGTGGCCTGAGATGATATGATTTGAATTGGAGCTATAGAGATACACTGACTAGAATTGATGCAGTTACTTTGGAGTATTAGGTTGTTTCCTCCAAACTTTTTCTGTTTTTTTAGTTGCTAAGATCCAGAGGGGTGTCAGGTTGTCCTCCAGCCTGCTCTGATAAAGGGTCAGGGAATTGCTGCAGGAATCGCTCTGATGATTCCAGCCTTTGATCAGACGGTTTTATTGTTTTCCAGTTTACAGAGACACAACTGCATTTCAAAACAGACAAAACAATCTGAAAACATCATTTACAGGCATTCCTTACAAGGTCAGTGGTTTAGTGACCTACAAAAAGCAGGGGGGGACGGGGGGGTACAAAGAGTAACTAGTTACTAGTTTCAACCAGTTCAAACACTATTTTTAAAAATCATGGAAACTTTACTATAAACACTGAAATTTCAATTGAAATTGGCCTTTTTGAAATCTTTACGTTTCAAACATCACATAAACTTCCTGTGGCTCCACATATCAGGACGGTATTCACATTATGCAAGGGGGGGGGGACCACGTCTTCATCCGGTGGCTCACTGGTCCTGCCTCGGGTTTCATGAGAGAAACAAAGACTTTCTGAACCAGAAGCTGCAGCGTGTCGCCTGCAGCGGGACGGGTCAGGAGCAGGAACATGGCCGCCGTCCATGCTCAGACGGTGGCTGGTGTGGGCGGGTCAGTTGGAGCGTGAGCGTCATCAGCAGAATGCAGCTCAGTTTGAAATGTGAGGAAGTCCAGATGTGAGGCAGTCCAGATGTGAACGGCAGAAACCGGATTCATCGGATCAGTATATATATCAGAAACGAGCAGCCGGACTGTAACACCACATAATGCCCGAGGTGTTGGAGCGCCCCCCCCATAATGACCAGTGATGCTCTTTGGTGTGGGGGGCGAAGTGGGGGCGGGGTAGGCGTGTTTGCATCCAATCATTGAAACAGACAGGAGAGGCTGATGAACAGGTAGATGGGGGAGGGGGAGGCGCACCGGGTGTGGAGGGGTCTCATCCAAGGCTTTGGTTGCTGCAGTGGGGGTGTGTGTGTGTGTGTGTGTGCAGAAGGGGGAGGGGGGGGTTATGGAGAGCCCAGGCAGGGAGGTGGTGCTGATGGTGGTGGAGTTGGTCGTTTAGGAGCGTTTCCTCCTTCCCTCCAGATTCCTGAAGTTTGAAGGCCGGATCTTCATCTCGGCGAACTCGATGGAATGTTCGTGGCCTTTCCAGTGGAACCAGTTTACCCCCTGAGGAAAGGAAGGAGCAGAATGAGGAGCAGCGGATGACTAAACAATGACGGCTTAGAGCGATCTGGACGGAGACCGAAACCAGGGTTCCAAGAACCAAACATCTGCTGATGGATCTCCTCCTTTGTCATAGCCAATCTAGAACCAGAAGATCACATCGTCTGATTGGTCGTTGGTAACCTCAGCATCCGCTCTGGGATTGGTGAAAGGTCATGATGTCACATCCTGTTACAGTGACATGGCAGGAAGGAACCAGTTCTCCCAGTCAGTATCTAGAAACACAGACCGTTTCTCAATATGCGTTCTTGAGCGTTCTCGTGTGCTCGTGATATGCCACCAGAACACCAGACCGAGAACGCATTAAATCCCCGGATGTTGTTCTCGCCGAACCCCCCATAATCTAGAGACTATTAATAACAGGAGGTGAAACGCAGCTCCAGACTAGCTTTCAATGTGGTGATGTCATCAGTACGCTTCTTTCCAGTTGACCCAGATTTATCCTGCGTGCTCCCGTTCTCCCAGAGTTCAGACTTTCCTGGGTTCTAGTCAGGAACGGATTTGGTGAGGACACAAGTCCGTACTTGTGTTCTAGTGAACTGAGAAACGGCCACAGACTAGCTGCAATGGCGCTGAGCTAGAAGCAGGAAATGAAAACTCCCTCTGGGCATCAGCAGCCATTCATTCCAACTGCAGTTCCATGTCTCACCAGCAGGTTTATTATTATTATTTAGTGGCTTTTTTTTTTATCTAATGTGCTTTATTATTACTTTCTGTTTATTTCTTTTAAAATACTTTTATGTGTCTGTAGGGTGGAGCTGAACTTCCGCCAGACAAAAGTAGCATCTATTCTAATGTGTTCTACTGTATTATATTCTATTACATTCTATTGTGTTCTATTATTTTCTATTGTGCTCTATTCTATTCCACTGTGTTCTATTCTATTCGGTAGAGTAGGTCTGTGTTGGAATGCAGCCTGCCTACCTTGCTGTGGCTGTTATCACCATAGCGACCCATCAGGTTGACCCGATGACAGTTTTTGTACCAGAATGCTCCCTTATAGGACAGAGCGCAGTTGGTCACAGCGATGTCGTTGTCGTGGTCATAGGTGGAGAAAGGGCGGCCATGATGGTAGGTCATAGAGTCCCCTAGAAAAACAGACAGTCTCTATCAGTGACACGTACAGCATCATAGAGTGTTTGATTGGCATTAAAGGACGGGAGCGCGGGTTAGTCTAAACCAGCAGTAACCAATTAAATATCAGCGGGGTCCGAATAAAGAAAATCATCAACCAGTAAAGGTCCGGAGACATTTTTAATTATAATCTGTTACTTTAAACAGGATTTAACAATGAAATAAAATGAGGTGTTTATGCATCCATGTTATACATTGACTTTATAAATAAAAAAAATCAAAAGATAGATCATTTTTCCATTTTAAAATGTTTTCAAGAACTGAAAACTTTAGAAAATTCATCTTGTAGCTGAAGGCACGGAGCATACCTGCTGTCCCACTATATCCTCCCACATGGACTTTGTAGCGCGTCCGAGGCTCAGAGACAGAAAACTTGTCATATTGAGCGTAGGCCATCTCTCCTTTGTCTCTCAGATCAACCCGCAGCTCGTACTGTCCTCCAGATGTGATCTTGTGCAAGTTGGACAGACCTGAGAGACAGAACAGACATCTTAGCAGAACCAGGGAACAGCAGGAAGAGGTCTGATGGTCCCAGATGATGCATGCTGACCTCCAGCATCCTGTCGCCGCCATCTTAGCACGCCCTGACATTCACTATCCAAAGTTACTACCATAACTACGGTTCTATGAATCCCGGATGACCGGCAGAGGCGGTGCTTAAAGCACTGAATGATCATTCTTGCGCATGCGTAGGTCGAGTATTAATGACAACAAAGTCACCTGTGACCTGCCGGGGACCCACGTGACTCTATTTAGTCACATGGCACCCGGCGTTCAATCCCTCAATCTTCTCGCAAGAAGGAGATATTCCGAGGGACCAAGCACTCTGGCAGTCATCCGGGACTTTCGTTCTATTTCATCCCTACTGACCACCAGAGGCGGTGCTTCAAGCACTGGATGACTTATGTCAACAAGGTCTTGAGGAATGGGCAACACTCAAGAGACAACCCCTACACCACCCACCTAATGTGATGTAAAGGCATGCTGCTCCAGGTTTCCTGCAGAGGATGGAGCTCAGCCACATTTAACCTGTAAAACCAAGTTAAGGTGCTAGGTGATTTCCAGGAGTCCGCGCGGCATATAGCATCCAATGGTCATTGTCATGGTTTTGGTTATGTTGTGCTTTACTTTGCTCCTTGTTTTCTAGTTTTATTGGTTTAATTCCTATTTTGTTGTAGTTTATAGATTTATGTTTTTTCTCAGGTTTTTCTGTTTTCCTCTGTTGCCCTCTTGTGTGTGTTCCCTTCCCACTTGGCTCCCTCGTTGTCTCCTCACACCTGCTCCTTCTCAGCTAATTAGCTCTGCCATTGTCTCAGTCAGCTACATATACTCCCCCTCTGCAGTCACTCCTTGTTGGTTCCTTGTTGTTGCCCGTCCTGTCATCGCTGTTGTCGTCTCACCTCGTCTCTCGCTGGCTACTTGTACGTGTTTTCCCTCGATGTCTCCATGGTTCTGGTCTGTTACTTTTTTAGTTGGATTTTTGGATTCCTGCCTTTGTTAACCATTTTCATCATTAAAACTACAAGTATTCGCCTCAGCCTCTCTCCCTCTGCAGGTGGGTCCTCCAAACCACAACCAAAACGTGACAGTCATGTTAGCAAATAATGTTGACACTTCACTCCTGTCGGCAGTGGCTGGTCCTGCAAGTCATAAGCCTTGGAAATCAAATCCACAACCCAGTGTGCAAGCCGCTCCTTAGAAAGTAACTGATCTTTTCGCGAGCCGGCGTAGCAAACAAAAAGGCCATTTGTCTTTTGGAAGGATGCCATGGCATTGATATATGCCTCAAGGGCAAAACAGGGCACAGTGGCTCAGAGGGGCATCCAGTGTCCAACCCAGCTAGATGGAGCGGCTGGGTACTGCCCGCTACCAGTGGCACCTTAGGGATAAATGCTACACCAGGCCACAGTGTAACACCTGAGCCATCGGGATTCTCAGGTGCAGCAGGGCTCGGCCATTAAGAGAGATTGCAATTCACCCACACGCTTCGCAGAAAAAATAGCCAAAAGGAATGCTGTCTTCATTGAGAGCCATTTGAGGTCTGCTGATGCCAGGGGCTCAAATGGGAGAACAAAGTGCCTCAAGCACCAGAGATAGGTCCCATGTCGGTGCCACAGGGCAGTTGGATGGACACAGCAACCGAGCACCCCTAAATAACAGTACAACATCCTTGTCTCGGCTAACTGAGCAGCCATTCAGCCTGTTATGCCAACAGGAAATGGCAGCCACATACACTTTTAAGGTAGACGGAGGCCGTCCCTGATCCAGTAATGCCTGCAGGAAGGTCAGTATGTCAGAGACTGAACACTGCACCGGGTCATGTCCCTTACTACGGCAACAGGTCGCAAAGACTGCTTACTTGTTAACATAGGCAGCCCGCATGGATGGCGCCCATGCGTTAGCCATTGTACGCCCTACCTATCTCGAGAAAGTAGACTCCTGCCTGGCAGGGGCCAAATCCAGAGCTGGTGCTGGTCCAGTTCAGGGTGCAAGATCTGGCCCCCCATCTGGGAGAGAAGATCACTTCTGGGGGGAGACGCTTTGGCAAACCGGAGCTCAGCTCACACAGTAGATGAAACCAAGTCCTCGCTGGCCAGAAGGGGGCTACCAGCAGAAACCTGTACCTTTCCTGATGTACCCTTAGGTTTGTCTGAAAGAGCAGGCTGAATTGGGGAAAGGCATAGAGGAGGGTCCTGGGCCAGTCGTGTGCCAGCACATCATGGCCCTGAGGGCTGCTGTCATCCAAGGAGAACCAAAGGGGACAGTGAAATGTATCCCTTGAGGCAAAGAGGTACACGTCCGCCCTGCCTAAGACCTTCCAGATATGCTCCACTACCTCTCAGTGAAGCTTCCTCTCTCCCGGAAATGGCTTCTGACAGGACAGAAAATCTGCTGGCACATTCTCCGCCTCGGGGATGTAGGCTGCCCTGAGGCTGGCCAAGTACGGAGCTGCCCAGGTCAACAGCTGTTGAGTCAAGCACAACAGTTTCCTTGACCTGGTCCCCCCTTGGTGGTTGATGTGAAAAACCACAGTGGTGTTGTCTGACCTCACCAGCACATGCTTCCCCTGCAAGTCTGGAAGAAAGCTCTGAAGAGCCAGAAGTACAGCCTGCAATTCCAGGACATTTATGTGTTCCCTGCTCTGCCGCTGGGACCATGTCCCCTGTGCAATTCGACCATATTGCACCCCAGTCCGTGGAGGATGCATCCGTGAGCACAACCTCCTGATGACATGGGAGGGAGCTGAGCGGGACCCCTGTCATCATAATGACCTCTCCCTCCATTGGGACAGAGACTGAAGACATTGAGGCCCCACTCGGAGTCTCCTGAGACGATGCATGTTCCATGTGGGGTCCAGATTGAAGCTGTTTAACCACATCTGGAGGGGCTGCAATGACAGCAGCCCAAGGGCACTATGGTGGATGCAGCTGTAAGCATGCCCACAAGGCGAAGATACCGCACAAGAGGCAGGGCCACACTGTGCCTGAATTCCAGGAGCATGCTCGATACGCTGTTTCGACCGCTGGGGAGACCGGCAAGCAGTCATTGAAACGGAATCCATGGTAATGCCCAGGAACACAGTCTCATGTGAGGGAGGCTGCAAACCCAAGCATCCCACGTGATGGAGCACTAAGGATCCCTATTCCTTGTGCCTTCAGTGCAGAAAGGGCCGCTGCGACACATCAGGTGAACACCCTGGGAGACAGCGAAAGTCCGAACGGGAGGACCCTGAACTGGAAGTGCCTCCCCTGAAAGGCAAAATCAAGAAACCACCAATTGGGACAGAGTGGACAACACCTACACATCTGGGGTGTGGGCGGCCCAGAAGCTGAGCTGTCCCGGGGTAAAACAACCGACCGCAGGCCCCAAGGTATCAGTCATCAGTCATCGGGCTGAAGCGGAGAAAGCAGCACAGATTATCCAGCATCATACTGCTGAAGCCTGCGTGATTAGCCCGAGTCCGATTAATTAACTAAAGATGAACTCGACGCGAGCAGAAACACTACTGGTGAGTCAGATAAATCATTTAAGGAGAACAAAACCTACCAGTTGTCACAGAAGCGACTGCAGATCTGGTAAGGGTGAAGAAAAAAAAAACCTTCTTGTGCAGCCCCTGGAGGGCGAGACTTACCCGCAGCTCCGACCAAACCCGGTAACGGGGCTACTGGCAACAAGCAGCTGGGATAACAGTGGTACACACAGAAGCAACCAGCTTCACATGACCACACCTGTGCGCGAGAAGAACAAAAGGGATTGAACGCCGGGTGCCATGTGATGAAATAGTCATGTGGGTCCACGGCAGGTCACAGGTGACTTTGTTGTCATTAATACTTGACCTGCGCATGCGCAAGAATGATCATTCAGTGCTTGAAGCACCACCTCTGGTACTGATCATAACAACACAGCAGCCTTGAAAACAGTTGATATTTTGTTAATCAGTTGATCAGAGAGAAATTACCGAGCCAGAACTCATCGTTCATGTCACCAAAACCAGCCGTGTAGTTCTTCCAGTTACGGTAAAACTCCAGCCTGCCGCTCTGACGCCGCAGGAAGACCTGCAAAACACAACAGAACCAGGCGGATCAAACTGTTTGCTAAACACTGACTGAGTCACAGACTCCTGCTGTAAACCACTCTGATTGGTTCACAATCACCTGCTGCTCCCGCCTCCAGGGACAGCCTCGGCCAATCATTTACTGCTTCTGCCAGAGGCTGATTATTGGC